CCCGCCGAGGTGTGGGGGCTGCCTCGGTGTGGGTGCCTTGGGCTGGTAGCTCCAGGTGTTGGTGGGCTCCTGCTCAGCCCTGGAGCACAACCCTGAGCAGAGGCTGGCCATCGCCCACGGGAATCCCGCCGCTACGGCACAGGGCGAGGCTCCGTATCGGCGGCGTGGCCCCCTCAGCGGGTGTTTCCCTGACAGGCCTTCCACGAGGAGTACTCGCGGCTCTACCTGCTCGCCAAAGAGACCCCGACCCCTCAGAACGACGCCCGCCTGCAGCACGTCCTCGTTTACTTCCTGCAGAACAACGCTCCCCAGCAGGTGGTGGAACGGACCCTGCTGGAGCAGTTCGCAGACAAAAACCTCAGCTACGATGAGAGGTTTGTGCCGCAGATCCCGGGAGGTGGCCGCTCTCAGCTGGAAGCAGTGGGGGGGCTGTTCTGATTTTTCTCCTCTCCGCTGGCCCGAGCAGGTCAATCAGCATTATGAAGGTGGCGCGAGCAAAGCTGAGGGAAATCGGCCCCGATGACGTCGACATGGAGGAGTACAAGGTGAGGGCCGGAGCGCCGCCATCCACCCTTGGTGGGCAGGACCGGCTCCGCCCAAAGCGGCGAACACAGCCGGCACTGCCCCCGGCGCGGTCCGCGAGGGGGGATGGACATGCTGGGAACCTCGTGAGCGTCGAGGAAGGCCTGTGCCCTCGACTAAACTGATTGCTGTGCCGCTCATGAGCGACGCGTAAGCCCTTCGGAGGGTAAAGTCTGGCGCGCTGTGAGCTGCGGCGGCAGGCGAAGCGCGCGCCTGGCAGGTGAAGCTGACGCGCTACTTCCTCGCTGCTCCCCGACAGCGGTGGCACGAAGACTACAGCCTGTTCCGGAAGGTGTCGGTGTACCTGCTGACCGGGCTGGAGCTGTACCAGAACAGAAAGTGAGTGACGGGTCATTGTGTGCTGGGGGGCCGCCTTGCCAGAACTTTCTGGCCTGTGGTGGCTACTTTGCACCCAGGCTTGTGTTTGGGGCTAGTGGGCTTTCTGTTGGGTGTGCCAGCAGCCCTTTATGGAATCCACAATCAGCCCTGGGAAAGTTTAAGTTAACTTTAATACTGAGGCACTGGCCAGCTGTCCAACTGTTTCTTAGGGTTTCTCCTCCTTTCTCCCTCTCTGACTTTGAGCTTTATATTCTCGTTTCCAGAGATGGGTTTGCAGGAACAACGGCCGTGACTGGGTGTTCTTCCCCCTTTGGACTCCTGTATTAAAATTAAGGTGTCTTGAATTGGACATTACACTTTGTGTAAACACACACTTCAGAGTACTCTAGGCCCTTAAGAACTTTGAAAGGGCCTTTTTTTCTCCCTGCTGTTTTGGAACCTGTATTTTACATAAATAGTGCAGTGCAGAGAAGGGCAGTGCCGTTTTATGAAGGGTTTGTAATTTAAAAAGTGATTTTTCCAATCCACAAAAGAAACTAGCTTTCCAAAATCATTCAGGAATGGAAACAGGATTGAATTCTGAAGTGGTTTAGCAGTGACGACCCACTGAATTGAGGTGGGCAGATTGACAGGAGGGTGGGCAAGAGCATGTTAGAGCTTCCCTGAATTGACCTCACCCTCATCAGCTGTTTTCGTTTCTCACCCGGTGGTTTAGAAGCTAGAAATATGTAAAGGAACTGAAAACTTGCACACTGCTTTGAGCGTTCTCTCAAGGTGCAAAGTTCCCATAGCAATACCGAGAGCACCAGTGCTGGCATTCACACTCAGGCTAAGTTGTACACAAACTTGGCTCGAAAGGGCTCTTCCCAAGATGCTTGTTTGGCACGCTGATTACTTGACAGAGGGCATCTGTTTACTGCTCTTTGGCAAGGAAATAAAGCTTTTCCCGTCGGGCCTGGCTCCCATCGGGCCGAGTGCGAAGCGTCTCCTGAGCCGTGTGGCGGCCGGAGCCTGCGGGCTGCAGAGCTGACGCTCCTCTCCTAGGTACCACGAGGCGCTCACCTACCTGGTCTACGCCTACCAAAGCAACACCAAGCTGCTGCTGAAGGGCACCAGCAGAGGAGTCAGCAAGTCGCTGATCGCCCTGTACCGGCGCAAGTGTCTGCTGGTGGGTACTGGGGAGCTGGATGCGCGGCGCTGGCGCGGGGGGGCAGGCAGGGCCCGGGGGATGGAGGTCCCACACACTGTGTGGGCCGTCCTGCCTTCGCCTGGGCTGCAGTTAATTTTCCCGAAAAGCCAGGAGGGGATGTAGCTGTGATCAGGCCGTACCGTGTCCCCTTTAGGAGCACCTTAATCAACGTGCTGCCTTTTCAGAGAAGGTTTGGGTGCTGCTGAACACGCTCTCGGGTTTTATCTTGCTGCTTGTGTTGGCAGCTCAGCGCTTGCATTTGTTTCATTCACTTCCTTCCCCCTGCAATATTTATTTCTGATATTAGTGGCTTTCTTTCTCAGAGCAAAAGATTATCTCCTTTTCCACAGGGGGCAAAAATCAGCCAAACCAGGTTTGTTTTTAGTTCAGGCTCCATGGTTGCCCAGACCAGTGTAACTCTCTGGTGCCTGTTGCTGTGGCTTCTGCCCCTGGCTGAGCACCAGCAGTACTACAGAAATCTGGGAGGTGATAATTCAGGGAAAGAATGTGCCCTATGGTGCTCAGGGTAAATCATAGAATCACAGGGTGGTTTGGGTTGGAGGGGACCTTAAAGTCCCACCCCCTGCCATGGGCAGGGACACCTTCCACTACACAATTCCTGATCCACCAAGCGCTCCGTCCCCCAAACCCACATCTCTCCAGTTGAGACACAAGGACATTGTGCGGGACAGTGTCAGATGCTGCACAGGCCCAGGCAGATGATGTCACTTGCCCTTCCCTTACCCCCAGCGCTGTAACCAGGTTTGTCAGGGCTGATTTTCCCTCAGCGCTGTCACCAGTCCCCTCCTTATTGCCCGCGTGCCCTGGCGCAGGCTCCAGGAGAATCCACTCCACAATCTTGCCAGGCACAGAGGTGAGACTGGCTGGCCCATAGTTCCCTGGGTCTTTCTTTTTCCCTTTTTACCTCTGGGGGTGATGTTTCCCCTTCTCTAGTCAGTGGGAGCTGCACTGGGCTGCCACAGCTTCTCAGATATGATGGACAGTGGCTGAGCCCCTTCACCCGCCAGTTCCACAGGCACATCTCATCAGGTCTCCTGGACCTGGGCACCTTCAGATTCCTTAAAAGGTCTCAGACCTCATCTTCTCCTGCGGTGGGTGGTCTGGATCATCAGTTTGGTTCTGTGGTGTGGCTCCTGCCAGTAAAGGTGGCCGTTCCACCAGAGCCCGGTGCCTGGTTCCACGAGTCTCTGCATCTCTGGCGGCCGTTGGTGAAGGGGCCGAGCCCTGCGCCAGCCCTGACAGCCGATCCTCTGAGGTCCGGGTGTGCTTTTCACGAGTCTGTCCCCTGGTTCTCCCTCCGCCCCTAGAAGCTGAACGAGGTGGCAGCGTCTCTGTTCGTTAGCTGTGAGGAAGCTTGTGTGGCAGAGGGCATTGGCATCCTGAACGAGCTGATCATCCCCTGCATGCATCTCATGAACAAGTTTGAGATCTCCAAGGAGGACCTGGATGCCATCGAGGTGATGAGAAACCGCTGGTGCTCCTACCTGGGACAAGAGGACATGGACGGTAGGGAACGGCAGCCAGCCTGACCTTTCCCGTGCTGTTTGTGGGCAGGGCAGGGTCCAGCTCCAAACCTGAAAGGAATTAAAGGGCCATTGCAAACACTTCCCTAAATTCCTGGCATTGGCACTGTAGCATGTTCAGGTATTTCTGACTGTGGGAGGAGGAATGTACTTGAATCATCCCTTGAATTGTGTTCTAGAAGAATTTAATCTTTTGCACTAAAGCGGCAGAAGGATTCCTTGTCCCCGAAATGTGAAAAGCAGGTTTCCGAAGAGCAGCTCAGCGTTCTCTAGGTGTGCGCTGGTCCTCGGCGGTCTCGCTGACCGGAGGCTTCCCTGTAGTCGGCAGGGGATGCTGGCAGCTGCTGCAGAGGCTCTGCTTCGGGAGGGAGGGTCAGATTTTATGGGTAGCCAGAGCTGCGGGTGACTGGATGGGGGACAGGCTCGGGGAACCTTTGTGTTCTGAGAGAGGTTTGTGGGTTTAGAGCTGTTCTCTGTTTCCTGCTGCGCTCTGGAGTCGGGCTCCCGCGACTCCCCTCAGGCCGTTTCTGTTCAGAGAAATTGGTTTTGACCCCCCTGATCTGCATGTGAAGGTCTGGGGTGTTGTTCCAGGGGTTTTTTCCATTAGCAGAGAGTAAACTTGCCATTGGACAATAAGGCAAAAGCACAGAGAATTATTCTCAAAGTAATGTTGTAAAAAGAAAATCGGGTCAATGTATGCTAATGCGCCAGTTTCCCATTCTCGGCCCTGCCATGAGGGCATTTACTTTGGCAGATTTTAGAGACAGCAGTTGGGTGCCGGCACCTCCCCGATCGTTCGCACTCACTCCGGCGTCGCCCCTTTCTGCTTTTCTTCTCCTGGGGTGCACAGCCTTTGTGCAGAGAGCGGCCCCTCATGGGCTGGGGGGCGCCTGCGCAGCGCAGGGCACCTCCGGGGTGTCACAGGCTCTAAGGCCGCGTCGCAGAGGAGCTCTCGGGGCCCTTCGAGCGCGGGGTCGGTGTTCGGGCACCACGGGGAGCTCCCCCCTCCACACGGCCCTGGGCGGGCAGGCGCGGGGGCCAAGCGAGCCTGCTGCTGACCATTTCATCCTCTCCCCCTCGACAGCCAAGCTGCAGGAGAAGCTGGGTGAGTTGCTGCCTCGGCTCCTCGACTGCTCCACCGAGGTCATTGTCCTGAAAGAGCCCCCGAAGATCCGGCCCAACTCCCCCTACGACCTCTGCAGCCGCTTCGCCGCCGTGATGGAGTCCATCCACGGCGCCTCGGCCGTGACGGTGAAGTAGAGCGCGGGCCCGCCTGCCCGCCCGGGCTCGGCGAGGCGAGGGCAGCGGCGGGGCCACCGGCCTTCCCAGCCGCAGGCTGTGGACGTACGAACCAATAAAAAGCTCGTGCACTTGTGAGGTGGAGGGTGAGGTGGTGGCAGGCAGGGCCTGAGCCCTGGCGCCTCCTCGGGGGGTTCTTCTCGTTCGCGCGGGCCCCGGGGCTGCGGCGGCAGTGGGGCAGGAGCGTTGCGGCGCTGTCAGACGTGCTTGTGTCGCGCCGGGTGACTCACGGGGGGCTCGTGCATTCAGGTCTCAGCAGGAGTCGTGTGATGGGGAGGCAGTGGGTAGCGGCGCCTCGTGCTCCCCGGCGCGTGGTTGCGGGTTTTGGCCTGTTCAAGCCTTTTCTGTTTTAACTGGCAAAAGAAATCACGCAGGACTCTTCCTCCGAGGAAGGCCCGGTGGCTCGCAGCAGGACGGGGCCGTACATGGTGTCCCACAGCGTGGCGCTGCGGCGGTAGCGCACGGGTGAAGGGAGGCCCCACACCCCAGGAGATTTTCCCCTCTCAGATCAGAAGCGAACTTCCTTCTGGCCTCCAGATTCCCAGTGCCGGGTTCGCGTCGCCCACAGCTCTGAGGGCTGGAATCGCCTTCAGTTTTGGTGGTGGCGGGTATTTTTCAAACTGACCTTCTGTAAAAAAAGTGCCCCAATTGCATTTCCTTTGGCAGGCAGCCTGTACTTGCGTTTGGGCGTTGTTTTAAACCAAAAGCTCTGAGTAACTGGAGGGGGGGATTCTGTTTGTTAGGACTATGCAGTTTTTTCTAAAAGTGCAATAAAAGCATTTGTTCTATGTTAGAATGAAAAAGCTCCCTCCGTGTTTTTATTTCACTCCGGCGTTATGCCTTCACGTTCCTTCTGCCTTCAACACAAAGAAAGGGGAGAAGGAAAAAGAAAAATAATGTTGGCAAAGTAATGCAGAAATTTCTGCAGCTTGATGAATCTCCCAGAGCGGCTGAACGGTGCGTGGGGTCACAACCTCACCCAGGGTCTCCCGGGGAGCACGTGGGAGCTGCCGCCAGCCGGATTTCATGGGTGTGCGTGGAAAACGGGGTGAGTTTGGTGAACGGGAGCGGATCACGGCTCGGAGAAGCGCACGGGGGAGCAGCTGCAGCGCTGGGCCTGAGGAACGGTCCCGGGTTCGCTGCCAGGGCCGGGAGGTTCTTTGGAGTCTCGTTCCAGCGGAGAGTCTGTCCTGGAGCCCTGCGCCTGCGGCAGATGTGTGCTCACATTCAGTCAGTAGATCTAGTGGATCCCATAGCCAGAATCTCTCTCAGTTAGGGACTTGGAAGGTTTAGTTTTGTACTGAGCTGCTACCACGAGCCTGGGTTACAATGGCAGCGTCTCACCTGCTGCTGCTGGCACCGCTCTGACAAAATAGATTTCCTGTCAGCGGTGCAGGAGGAGGGTTTTTTCCAACAGGTGGGACAGATGCTCCGAGGACTTCTGTTCCTAGTACGAAATTTGTTGTAATTAGCGGAGCTGTCTCCGGATGGAAGTTCTCAGCGAGGTCCCTGCGCTCCGTCGCTGCGCGTTTCCCCGTCGTCTGGCAATAAACGGCTCCCGCGGGAGCATCCTGCGCGCTCCCGGTTGTTTTGCGATGAGGCGGAAACGCCGTTGCCCGCGGAGGCTCCGGCTGCCCGTGTCCTGGCGCTGAGCCGGGCCTGCTCCGGGGAACGCGGTGCTGCTCAGCCAGGGGCTGCTGGTTTTTCCGCTTCTTTTCCCTGCTGTGGTGTCGCGAGTGGGAGGATGAGACCCACGATGTCCTGAGGCTGCATGAATGAAGACGTTGGAGCGGAGACGCCGGGGCTGGGCTGCTGCTGGCGTGAGCCGCCCCCTCCTCCCAGACCACTCGCGGTTTCCAGAGGCGCCCACGGTGCTGCTGCCAAGAATGAAGCCCCCCCTCTCTCCTCCCCACGCGGCGTGACCGGCGCTGCCCGCAGCCCGGCGGCGTGAGAAGCGCCTGCGGGTCACCGCTGTTCTCTGTCCCTGCCCACCCGCTCCTTCCTCTGCTCCTGGGCTGAGCAAAGGGCAGGTTTCAAAAGGGGACTCTTGGAGGAAAGCGGACTTTGCTTCCCGCAGGAATGCCGCTGTCGGCTGGGGGCTTCCTGCGCTTGGGTCACGCGCCTGTGGCTTTGCATCTGCAGGGATTAAACCGGCGCTGAACTCGGGTTTTACCCGGTGCTGTAGTGGCGAGCTGGCTGCTGTCAGGGCTCGGGGTGTTAATCCAGCCTGATGGCCTGTGCTGCTGGTCGCACCAGGCCTGCAAGCAGGCTCCCTCTCCCCATCGTTTTCTACCTTTCTCTCTTTACCCCCCCAAGTCTTTTCTGGCCCGACGGAAGCATCGCTGGAGCAGCAGCGCTGCCCCTTGCAGCCCCATCCCCACTCGCTCCACGCTTCCCGCCAGACGCGGCTGCACGCCCGGAGCACGGAGACGCTGCCGACCACCGCCACCATTTATTGCAAATACATCGGGGGGAGCCGGGCGGGCCAGGGCCGAGGCGCTGCGGCTGCCGACCACCCCAGGCCGCGGGGGACCCGCAGGGGAAGCTCACGCAGCCTCATCCATCAGTGACCTGAGCGCAGCTTCACCAGGCTCTGCCCCACGCATGCTGCAGGGAAACCTCCTGCTCCTTGGGAAACAAAAAGCGAAGCAGACACGCAGAGGGAGGAAAAAATTCCGCAGGGCTGCCGCAGAGATTAGCCAATCCTCCTGTAAAAGACGCAGGAGCCATCCCCACGCTGGGAACAGCCGGGGGGTGCGTGGGGCACAGCACCCCGAGTCCCTAGATGACCAGGTCAGCGTTTTTGGGGTGGGGGTGGTGGCCCCCGGCCGCACTCTGCAGGGCGGGGGGCTGGCGGCGGGCGGGGGCCGGCAGCATTGCAGCCCTCGCGGCACGGGCGCTGCAGGCGAGGAGCAGCCCACCGGCGGCGAGGAAGGCTCCAGCGAACCACCCCAGGAACGTGGCGCCCCCGAATTCCCACCGGGGGACGATGTCGGGGACCGTGTGGTCCCAGAAGTCGAGGACGGTGTTGTAGGCGACCCAGGAGACCG